GTATAAATTAACAATAAAAATAGCGCGCCAAGAATTCGATACAATATGCAAATCGTTCTACATTTACTATTCATTTTACAAGTAGATATAGATAAAATATCATAATAGAAAACCAAAAATCACGAATGGTGACTTTATTTAGAGTTTCAATGTTGTGCAACTCAATGATGAAGAAGAACACTTTATTAAAATAATCAAACGAGATGTACATAGTTCTTCTGTTCAGAGTAAAATTTAAATGAATCACAAGAGCAAAAGAAAATCAATAATGTTAGTTTGTTTTAGATCTTAATCGTTACACTAAAACATTTGAAAATGGTCAAAATATTATTTTCAATACGCCGAATTTTACACTGATTAATTCTTTATTATCGAATATTTCAATAAATCCATCAAAATTTTCTGTTTGCAATCATACAAGATGGTTAATACGTCAAATTTCATTAGATAACAATCATCTAAATAAATATGACGAAATAGCACGATATGATTCGACCAAAAATCATTTTATTCTGCATTATCATAAAGATTATTCATGTAGTATTGATTCAAATACTGGTCAATTGACATTAATTAATACTAATGATGAAAATTTTCTTCGTACAGAAATTAGTTTACATGCAGAATCTGGTTTAAGTCATGATGATGATATTTTACATGATATATACCGATTAATTCGTCTTTCATCTAAATCAAGTAAGAGTAGTCCTTTCGCCAGTCTAGCAGAGTTTATGTAGACTTGATCGGAATGGAATGGAACTTCCAGTGCTTCTAAGATTTCAGTGTATAAGCATAGCTATGAGTTCGAAAAAATTTTCAAATCTTGTAGAGAGAAGGCAAATTCGGTTACCCAACTGAAACGGATCTAATTCAGCTCTTCTATTTCAAATGATAGCATTGTGAAATTTTCACAACAGATACTAGTCGTTGAGATGATTATTTTTTTATAGCGAATGCTTTTCTGTCATGTGTTCTGTATTCTGGACTCAAGTATCTCTGTGAAATCCAGATAGAATTTCAACTTTTATAGGTGCTCTAGAATCTTCTCACTTCTGAGTTTCACAGATCTATAGCTTATTCCTGAACTGACTGGCTTAGCATACGTACCTATGTCATTGCTGAAATTCTTCTTTTCGGTCAATGGGATTTGGTCAAGGTAGGCGATCTTGAAAATTTTTTATGGTATTTACAACAGCTATAACAGTCATATTCGTCAAAGAACTTTTAGGTCGGTTCCTGTGATCAAATCGCACTGACCAAAGACAAAGATTTCAGGAGTGATAAAGCTAGGTGTGCTAATAAAGTGTCACCATAGAATAGATTCTAGAAATCTTATCTTTTCTTCTAATGGTTACAACGTTGCAAAAGCTTAGAAACTAAGTTCCAAATATAGCTTTATCATTCTGTCCAGGAAAAAGGTACCGATCTAGGAGATTGAAGGTTAGATGCATGATAGTTAGACAATTCCAGAGCACTTATAAACGCTGAAATTCTGTTTGGACTTCACAGAGACACGCGAGCCCGAAAAACACAAAAGGAGGAAGCAAAATGTTTGATAGACAAAATGATGATCCCAACGACTAGTATCTATGATAAAATCTTCAGCTTCTATCATTTGAAATCGAAGAGCTAGATTAAACGGATTTTGGTTGAATAATCTAATATGTCTTTCTTCTTTGGAAGGTTTTGCAATGTTTTTGAGCATATAGCTATGCTTATAGACCCAAATCCTACAAGATTCGAAAGTTTCATTGCATTCCGATAGAATCGATGTAAATTCTGATATATTCTCGAAAGAAGTACCCGTAAGGAATTTGATCAATTGTTTTAATAAAAAAACTTTCATTATTTTTTTTAATTAATAGTTAATTGTACAACAAATGTAACAGTTAATATAGATGAATCATTTGACATAACATGTACAATTGAATACGAATTTTTAAACTATGATGATTTAGATAATTATCAACCAACAATAAATTTTACATTTTATATTAAAGAAAATGATTTTATGTATAAAATTATTGATGAAAATTATTTGAATGAAATAAAAGATATTAAAATAAATAATATGACATTGAATTGGAGACGTTCCATTATTTATACAATTCAATCAATAAATAAAAACGTAAATGATCGAGAATATGGTTGTATTTTAATACCTGATACATTAAAAAATGAAGATATATTTCAAGATAGTAATCGAATATGTCAAATTAGAATTAATGTTGAAAGTAGTATTTTTTGTTTATATGAGTATATCTAGCACCTAGAACTATCTTTAGATGATAATTCTTCAACTGTCATATTCCAAAGATTAAGTAACTAAGATTTATTTTCTTTCATGTATAATTATAAATTTTATTATTAATAGATCGATCAGATTTAATTGATATACTCATACTTGTTTTTATTACACTTTGCAGTCTATTATTTATTGTATCTCTTATTTTATGTTTATCTACTCAACAACATAATAAAAAACGTATTGTTCAAATTAAACCCGAAAGTATGTTCATTTGACCTTAGTTTTACTGTTTCAACATTGATATGGTACAGGATTTAGTCCTTATATAAAGTATTTCAAAAGTCTGCTACGCTAAAAGATCAGTTTAAATGATTTATAGTACTTTTACAATTTTATGATAGGATGTTTCTTGAAGTTTTATTTTATGTAATCTCTGATAAATTTCCGTACCTACAAACGTCAGAATACTAATAGGCTTACAAATTGCCAAAATTGAGTTATACGTAGAGAATGTCGAGTTGGTGTCAGATATAGTGCTGTGTCTCAAAATTTTTGGCTCTAGTCATATAACGTTGTAAAAAGAAAAATACAAGTCAAATTTAGCATAATAAGGACAGACATAGACTGTGTTAGAAATACCTTTCAGCTCTTTTCCGAAACTAGCACAAAAGCAAATCTAAAAAAAGATATGACAAATCTTCAAAAACTGCAGAAAAAAAATCGAAAAAGTTTATAATGTTTGCAAAAAGGATCCATTCTGATGATTCCTTTGAGTTCTTACCGGAAAGCATAGAAAAATGGGAGGAACATGTAAGAAGGATTTTGGTGGACACATTTTTCTTTTTTTTCGAAACCAAACAGAACCGACCATTGCACTCCAGCTTCTAAATTCCTCCAATTTTTCTTTCAAAACGAGCCCATGTTTGCTTGTCTGAAAACTATCATCAACTCTTCAAGTTGTTACAACAATTTGATTAATTTCACAAACGGTAACTCGCCGAATGCTAGCTGAGTATCTTCCATTCTAGTCATGCAAGTTATAGTTTGTCGGATGATTTCACGAAGAAGATTCATAAGATTAAGTTGAATTTGGCAAATTTTCATACAAATATTGGAAAATGTTAACAATCACGAGAATTCATTTTTTACTAACGAACTCACTTTTCATTTAAGCGCTTTATCAATAAATATAAAATAAAAACGAATCTTATCACATTGTTTTTCACCGTGGACATTTGAGACATCCTATAAATTTCCTCAGACTATGTCGATCTACATTTGAGCCAGAAATAATCAAATACTATTGATTACAATATTTATCTCTTTTGAAATACCAATCGAAGTAGTATTAATCCAACTCTATCATTTCAAATTCCAATCATATTAAAAAAATTTCGATAAATTATTACTTCTATGAAAAATTCAAATTCTAGATAAAACAATTACATTACCACTTAATACTAATACTAAATCAACATTTTTCAAAGACAATTTATTTTCAAATAATAATGAAATTAAATCTGAAATACCTTTAATTACATCAAAACAATTTTCTAAAGCCTCTATTAAAACTCTTTCATCTGAACATATTCATCAGCATAAACCAGGTTGTCCAAAATATATTCCATCCCCTGAACATAATTTTCTTTCAAATAATTTATTTACTCATACAACAATTGATAATATTAAAAAAATGTGAGTTAAATTTTTTTTTGTCAATAAAACATTTATAAATATATATGGTTATGAATATTTATTTAGAATTCTTCCGGATATACCTCAAAACAATGAACTATTCGATGATCAAACTTATATTCATTTTTATATACCATCAAAAACTGAGAACATATCATTTAAAAAACTTAGTTCATCTTTGATTGAAAAAGATAAATCATCTGATTAATTATACTTTTTTCCCGATTAAATGAAAGACAAAAGTGAGGATTTCTATATACATTTTTAAAACAAAACAGAAAAAAACATTCTCTATCATGTATCTACACAAGAAATAAGAACGATTAAATAGACAAAAGCGAAAATAATGGTAACTAAGCAAGAGGATTGTTCGCATCGTCGATAAGTGATGGTAATATATTATGAATGCTTGAGTCGAAAGCTGTTTGATTATTTTGAAACGATTTGTGTGAATCTATGATAATTATTATTATTATTATTATGATTATGATTATTAATATCGATTGATATTGGCCAAAGTATGGTCTGAAAAAGAAAAAAATTCTTCACTAATTACATATCAGATTAAAATCTGAAACACAAAGAAATGACTTCTACTGTATATGAAATGGTTTTGATATGAATCTCTTTGTTTATTAGTTACAATTGCTTACCTTCACAAATATTTGTAAGTACAGAGATTTAACATTGGTATTGCAAAACTCCGATGAATAATACGAGAATTTGATAACAACTAACAAAAGAATTTCATTGTGAAACTATAGAATTTCGATGATGGCGGAAACAATATTTCAGCTCAGGAAAAGTCGAGAGAAGGAAAAATATCTTTTCTTTTAGCTATCTTTCATTATGGAAATCTGCCTAGCGGCAGATTCAATAGTCAGATATATTCTCTACAATTAATACTAGCTCTAGCTCGGCACAGAAGGCTGGCCTAATGCAGAGTTCTTGTGTTCGATTGCTTAACTTTCCCATACACACTTTCTAGCTACAAGAATTCTTCAAATCCAAAACTTTCAGACCTAGCACCGGCTGCGGTCAGATTCGGGACCAACACGACAGGCTCAATTAGCCATAGAAATAGGTGTGTGTCTCAACGTAGTCAGTATGCTATCCGATCCGTGATTTGAGACAAATAATCACTAGTGACCTGACCAAGTTCATTCGATGACTGTGGGTACTGAGCTTTGAACACATTATTCTGTAGATACGTGTCAAATAACGTAGTTACTCAGTCATGGCAATTCTCATGGAGGATTGAGCTCACCCTTGGCTCTAACACGGAATTCAATTGTCATTAAAAGCTATATCGATTAAAATTTGGAACGCCAAAGAGAAGCGTCTTTACAAAAGAGTCTGATATAGCCTATGAAAATTCTTATTTTCATCTTAAATATGAAGAAAAAACTTTATATTCTTCTCTTAAAATTCTACCTGCAATAGCTTGTTGCATACGACGACGAGCTCCAAAAGCTTCAATACCGATTTGAGTCAAATCATGATCCGTCATAGAAAGAAACGTACAATAGTCAATCTAGATGTTTCAAAAAGTTGCTTTTGATTTTGGAAAAAAATCAAGAATACAATACCTCATTACGTTCAAATGTTGACCAATATTTCTCTAAATTAAGTGAACGAAGTAATGTCAATAATTTTGTCGAACAATTATCTTGTATTGGAAAAGCCAAAGTATCTTAAGTAAAAACATAGTAATTTATAATAAATCAATTTAAAATTTACTGTCAATTGATTCTAAATTATTAATATCAGTCGGTTTTAATGTCGGTTGAGTCGATGAATCAAAAACAAAGAGCTAAAAATCCTACATTAAGATCAAAATCTTACTAATTAAACAAATTTACCGATGGAATTCGATCATTATTGGTTGGCCACATGATACCTTCTTGATCAAGATCTATAAAAAAAACGCAAGTTACATTGGAAACAAATAATAATAATTTTTCACTTCGTGATGAAGAACGTTCATGACCAATGGGTGACGGTTTTTTAGCTGTATTTGTTTCAACTCTTCAATAAATAATGGAAAAAAAAATAAAAACTGAAAACTAAAAATCAAATCACTTGCATTGGTACAAGTACAGTATCAATGTGTTGTGTCGATGGTATATAACAAGGCTCTATGGGAATTAATATACTATCAGTTATATGATTTGTTGTTGTCGTCGCTGCTGAAGGAGAAGTAAGAAATAATGATGACGATGCAGTTGGAACTAGGAAAAAAATTTGATTGAATTCTAAATAACCTCTGCAAATAAAAATTTATGCTCACAAGAGAGATCAGATAAAAATGTTGATGTTTGATCTGTATTAAAATAAAAAAAAAGAATTGGTTTTACTTGAAATATCTTTTCTTAACATTAAACTTTACTCAAATCGAATAATCCATTTGCATTAATTGGTAAAATATGATTATTATTTGATTCTGATAACCCAAGAATAATAGCACGAGCTCGAAATAATTGATCACAATTATATTCTTGTGATTGAACGGTAACTAACTATTTTCAAGAAAAGATGAGATTCTATTTACTTAGAAAAACGAATATATATTCACTTTGCCAATTTTATCTTTACGTGTTCGAACAGTTGTTGTTACATTAAGTTTATCTTTAATATGAGCAGTTTGAGCTAAATATAACGAACAAGTAAGCATAGTTATCAAATAAAATACATACCACGAGTCGGTTCTTTATCAATGGGTATTTCAAAATTTAAAATAACTGGTAAACAAAGCTAAAAAAGAAAATAAAATGAAAATTTAACTTGAAAAAACTGTTAGCGCAATATATGCGGGATTGAAACATAAAACATGATGTAGCTGCAATTACTAATCACAGAAAGATTGTTTCGTTTTATCTATTTTGGGACACATATCCTTTAGAAATGCAATAAAGAAATAGTTTGTGTATTAGAACGAGACGTTCTTGTTATACGGTTTGCGATTGTATACTAACAATGTCTGTCATGGATTGTGACTCCGGATCCGGATCCAACAGTACTTTGATACTCTCAGTGAACTTTTCTTATCAGAATTAGAAAATTGGACCAAATATACGAAATACTTTTCCCCCGTCTTTTAGCTTGAGCTACTAATACACTCTACACCTTTTTCAGACGATTGGAAACCATGTGCATCTTGCAGGTTCTAACGAGCTATGAATACTCTGAAAAGTTCGGACTAATAGTTTGCTACTGCTTAGATACTGTGTTGTTATTGTATTTTAAAGAGAATGTTGTGGTCCATCATAAGAACATCAAAAGAACTGAATCTCGAATATTGAATAGAAACTTTACGCAGAAACAGACCTTAATGAGAATAGGTCCTTGTTAAAAGTTTTCGATGCTTTGCTTGCTTCTATTCTATGATACGACTATGGTACAAAACATGATTCCAGTCTGTTCATATACAAACGGCAACTTTCTATGTTCTTTTTTCAGAGTAGATGCAGCCGAACAATTGAAAATTTTCACAATAAACTATTCTCGTTTGAGTATATTTTTTACAAGGTTCAAAGTAAAAATTTCAAACTCAGTTTTTCGGATGTTCCTGAGAGAACCACAGTATTCTGCTAAAAATACAGTATTTCGACAGTTATCAGCTATTAGCTCGAACTCTTTTCAGAATATTTATAGCATCATTAGAACCCATTTGATGCATATAGTCTTGACTGAACAGCGATTGGACACTTAGAAACGTTTCTTTTTAAGATGTCTGTCAATCAGTACGAGTATCCGAATTTTTATCCATATACTTAAACACCCCTTTCGGATCTTGATTCATAAAATTCACAAAAAAAAACACAAGAGCAAATTATTCTTTTACATCAAATAATTTTCGAGCTTGACAAACTTGTGTTGGTGATCCCGATATAATGACTGATGTTCGACGTCCATAATTATTTGTATTATCTTGTGATAAATTTGAATTAATCATTGTTGGAAATTGTATTGTTGTGTGTGTATACTGTTCAATAGCCGCTATGCACATATCTTTTGATTGTTGACGAGTTTGTAAATAAACATGATATTGTTCACTAACTTCTGTTTGACATGTTACTTTTATTAATGGTGCTTCAAAACCATAAAATGCTTGAATTAAATATTCAGTTGCTTCAGCTAAACCTGGTTGATTAATACTATAAACAATTATTAATAAAAAAAAAAAAAATTTTCTTTTTTCCTATGACAAAGATGTTTCTTTTGTTACTTACAGTCCACGAACAATACAATAAACATCACCAGTTTTAGCATATGGACGTGGTAAAACAATAACACCAAAACGTGTACGAACATTTTTAAATAATGGATAATCATCATTAATAATGTTAATTAATTCTGTTGGGGGTATAAGAAATTTTAATGACATTGGTAGAATTTCTCTTATACGTTTTCGAGCTTCTTCAATTGATGATACTGTTCCTGTTATTGATACCTGCTCAAGATGATCTATCTATCTATAATTTCATTTTAATCAGTTATTTTTCAATACCTGATTCGATTTAGTACCATTTGGTTCACGGTTTCCATCTGGAAAATGAATATGTGTATCTGTTGCTGACATGATACTTTGAATTTGATTTCCTTGTCGTCCAATACAATGAGCATGATCAGTAAAGGGGATTTCAATTTTAAGTGTAGCTCGTTCCATATTTGTTGTTCGCATTGATGGTAACTGAAATAAAAGTAAACAAAAAAAGACTACGAATACTCATCAGATTTATATGAAATATAAGTTTAAGGTGTGATAGACATTAGATTGGCTAGTCGGTGCGCTTCAAACAAAAGAAAAAAAAGATTCTATCTTTGAAGTTATCATAATCACTATCCAAGATAAATGTATACATATTACTCTTTTTTTATAATCTAAACGAAATAAGCTTCTGGTTCTCATATATTTATATGTATATGTTGAAACGCCTACATCCATAGAAAATTTTGACCAATAGATCAAGACTAATTTTTTTTTCTTTCTCTTCTCATATCATTTCTTGAAATAAATAAACAAAATGAAAATGAAGAATGATGCCACTGACATTATCATCATTCTTGCACGTTTTTCTTTTTCTTATCATCATTCAATGTTTCGAAAGAGATACGATTCATCATGATGTCAAACGTTGTTTTATTCAGTTTTTTTTGAAAAAAAGTACTAAAATACTATTGAACATACCATAAAATAACATGTACAACACTCATTATCGAATATTGAACAAGTATCAAACATTGATTACAATCAATACGAAATAAATAATATATCAAATAGGAACAGTGAACTAACTATATTGATCATATACGATAATCAATTGTCTATGCTTTTCATTTCTCCGATTGTGTCATCATTAGAATAAGGATTACGATCGGTCACAAAAGTCATCAAGATCATTTCCACAAACACACACATTCACATACTCTTTCTTTCTTTCTCTTTTCGTTGATGTACCATATCTTTGCATAATTACATCCGACGAACAACAACAAACAATATGAACGAACGACAATCATCATCATCATCATCATCATCATCATCAACAACGAATAGAAAAAAAAAGCATAAGAGTTATACATACGAATTCATTCAATGTTGACGAAGATGTAATTGTAGAAAAACGACATCGTTTTGCTGGTTGATTCATATTGTTACTTTCAGTATTCGTGAAATGTTTGAAAAGACAAGACAGACAAGAAGAAAAAAGGAATAAAAAGAAACAAACGAAAAATTTTCAGTATGCACATACCATACTGGCATACTAATGATGCTTACACGCTCCGATTATCTTTATCCCTAGGTTGTTTTTTACATTTTTCTTTTACAAACCCTCATCTTTGGTTTTTTTTCGTATCTTGACCTATCACAAGAGAGAGAAAAGATTTAGTGATTCTATTGAATTACCTAGAAAACTATCTTATAACACATCAGCAGAATTATATCATACAAATGCGCAAAACGTATGATACATTTTTGAAAATAACTTTAAAAAGTTCTCTTAATTATGTATGCATTTAGTGTTATACCAATTGATATGAAGAGAAAATACTTTGAACTATAGATATGAGCGCAAAATATCTTGCCAAATCATTTTAGTGTTCTTCTGCGTCGTATCCTTAAAGAGTTTCTGAAAACAGAAGTGTCTCGAGTCCAACAAAACAAGGCGAGACGACTCAGAAGATACAGTCGAACATGTCCGGCATGAGTCGACCATTATTACATAGATTAATAATGGAAAAAGACCGAAGAAAAACTTCCAGCTCTGCTAAAGTAAAAGAGAAATTTGGTATGATTGGAGAATCATCACTATTGTCTCAAAATGTATCAAGTTTTGATCAAAAGTCAGGAGTATCTCGAATGGTGGATGCCTCCTCTTCAGTCTGAGAAGATTTTTCTTTTTTCCTAGCAAAACCGAACAGTTTTCTTGCTTTTTTTTTGGCTAATTAATCCCATAACAAGAATCAACGCTCCCTCCCCCCAATCTTTGTCACCACGAGACACACCTAACGGCAGCTTGTGATAAAAAGAACAATTATAATTCGAGTATCTTGAGACCCAACACTATCGAACTATTTTACACATCAAACATTTAATTTTATTGTTTGGGATGACAAATTAATTAGCAATGTAATTTAGACTTAAAGCTTGATATTTAGTGACATCAGAATTTCAGAGAACGAATTTACAATATATAATCGTGAGATAACAGATTTTACGTAAATCTGTTATCAATATTGTAACATTGATAATATACTTTTATTCACATACTTATCAATGTTACTTAGCAATATATCGGATCATCTATCTTTACGACTATTGCTCTAATTAGCTGTTTGTATGTCATATTTATTTATCATATCCATAAATGAACTTTTATAAATATTTATGAATATGTGTTTTCGTTATTTTACGATGGACATCGGTTGATTTTCACATAAGAAAAATATTTACGCAGAAGATGAAGACAAATAGTAAAAAGTAGACAACTTGTTTTTTTCGAAAGTTTATATAAGCATTTCATTCAAATGCAATATCCATTTTCTCGACTGTTTGATTATTTATATCAGATGATTAAAAACTGAAAAATTCACACTTGAGTACGTTCCAGTTGGAAGACACTTAACATGTCCTTAATTGATTAGACTAATTCAAATTATTTAATTGTTCCTAATAATTCATTAGTTATACAATTCTTGAAACTTTTTATTCTAAAACAATTTCATATTCTTTGTAACCAATGATATTCGTCTAGTTTATTGCCTTTAAAAGTCATTTGAGATTGAGCTTTTTTCCTCTTTATTTACGTATAGCATGAATAATTGTAGTCAAATATTTTTTCTTTATATAATCAATATTTTTCATGGCTTTTTTTTTTTTTGAGAAACTGATCCGTGCAAGAGTATAATCATGTTACTTTATTAATTACTTCTATTTGTATACATCATTATTTATTTTTTGTTAAGAAACAAAAAATTTTTCAGATGAACCAAGTAATTTACAACCTTGAAAAATAAAAATCTATAAAAACAGACTTTTCGTGCTTCTAATTGTTAATCACATGACCAGTTAATTGATTCAATTAATCAAAAAGAAATTGAATAGATATAATGAAAAAGAACCAGAATACATTAAAAACTAAATAATCAACTAACGTCTTTGAATCATCTCATTTAAGAAAAAAGGAAACTAAAAAAAGGCTATAAATAAGTCAATTTATGATTTTGATTCAAGAGGGCCTATTCAATGAATTACACACCTACGTTTTTTTCATTATGACGTTTATTAAAAAAAAAGAAAAGAATTATCTTCTGTCAACGTTTCCTTCTTATCTACCACAATCAGAAATTTGAAGCCAAGACTTTTTTTTTGTATTTTAGATCTTTTATGTCACATACAGCTTTTCTATTTTTCTTTGCCAGTGCATCCAATATTAAATACGAAGAATAGCATGCTGAGCTAATGACATGAGATGCAATTGGAACCTGTTTTCAAAGTTTTTATTTCGTGTGTCACATAACATACACACAAATCTTTAGTTATTAGTAAAAGAAACTAACGCCAGTCTAACTAAGACACGCACATCAGTGATATGGGTTTGTATATTGGAAGTTATTCAAAAAAATCTTTTTTTTTTTATGTGAAACTCAATAGAAACAAAAGATAATGATCTTCCATCGATCATATTCGAAAAATGAATTATATGTATATATGTATAGGTTTTAAAGTTCACTTGTTGTATATAATTATGTGAAATATAGTATCTGCCTATTAACCAGTATCCTAGATGTGCGCATGTAAGACAGCGCATCATCTTAAGAAAGAGAAAGAACATAAAAGTCGTCATGAAACAGAAACGAGCGAATGAAAAAAAAACTGTAAAGATGTTAGACAAGTAACAAGTCGTTTTGTAAAAAGAAAGGAGATAGAAAAAAGAGAAGAGAAAACCATGCAAAAATGACGGACTGAAAATAATTATTGATGTTAGATACCAAGCAAAACACAACGTATCCCGTGTCAGACGATGACAATACTTGGTGACGACAACGGAAGAACTTGAGCAGTATGTGCTCTTTCAAATCCACCATGGCTGTATCAAAGTTGATTCTGCTAGTTTGTCTTTTCAATATTGGAGATGCAGAACAAGGTATGAAAAATTTTCTAAAAAAAACAAATAGTTTTGATTATTATTTTGATTAGTTAAAATTCAATGTTCGACTTCATTTTCTACCGAGAATACTAATGATTTATGTTATTATAATAATCGAAAGGCATTTTCATGGTCTGATGCATATAACCAATGTTTAAGTAAAATGATTAACGGAATACTTATTCAAATATTTTCTAATGAACACTTTAATTTATTAAAAAATGCAAACATCGATGAATCATCTGTATTTTGGTTAGGTGCAAATAATTTTGCATCATGTAAGTTCAAAAAGACATTCATAAAATTAAAGAGCAGAACTAACATATTTTCACATGGTTTTTCTTTTTCTAAATAGCTAATGATATTTGATAGCCAGTAATATAAAATGTTTTTAACGATTATTATCAATAAAGAATTAGTTTTTTTAATATCTGAAAAAACTAATGAGAAGCTTTAGATGAAGTCAAGTGTAAAACTATTCTTCCGGTGATAGATTTTTGTTCTGTTAAAGATAATAAGCCGTTTAATATTAATTTTCTTCTTATGCAAAATATTTAAAACAATATGAACTAAAATTCAAAGGACTTTTTTAATGAAGAAAAAGATTATTTTTCAAGTTTAGAACAAATATATCAATTTAGAAAACATTAAGTTAAAAAAAAGTTTAACATTGTTTTTCTCATTTTATTTCATCGTTTTCTGAAAATAAATTCTTCGTGGCTTTATGCAAAATTATTATTTAATATTTAAAATATATGCTTTCGTGATTTTTTGCTGTGGAAAATCTGATATGTCTATGAAATGAAAAGTTGTATGTAGAATTATTTATGTGTTCTTTTAAATCTCGACCAATATTTATGATAATATTCGAATAAAATTAATCATTGAAATGCTTACTAAGCAGTGTCCTTTCTTTTATTTATTAACCTCATCATTCTATTTTTATTTACTAGAATTCTATTTATAAAAGTTGTACATTTCCTGTAATTCTTCTATTTCTTTGAGAATTTATTATTTATAGAAGTGAATATTATTTAGTTAGAAAAAATTGAATAATAATAGAAAAGACAAAGTATGAACGTTTAAAGAAGAAATAAATTCTTTCTGAACATTTTCATCATTAAGTGCCATATTGATTAAAAATAATCTTAGAAGAGAAGTTCTCCACATGATTAATCACTTTTGAGCCGAAAGCATTATACATCATGTAAACTCTAATGGCTTATAAATATTCTGAAAGGAGTTCGAGTTCATACTTTATCGCTACCGATATATTGCGTTCTTACGGTTTTTGTCAATACAATCACGTAGTAACTGTTAGGAACACTAGGAAAACTTATGTTTGAATTTTCACTTGAAACTTTTCATAAAAACAAGCTTTGATAAGAGTAATTTATTATAAAAATCTCGGATATTTTCTTTTTTCTTATTCCAAGATATAGTCATGAAAAAACACGAATTTTACATAGCTCATAAACATCCACAGATTCGATGTTCTTATTTTAGGAAAGGAATAGATCCTATAACCTTATATTTTCACGATTAACTGTTCCTATTGAGGTTTGTTTATATGGAAAGTGCCAAGTCGAACACGAAAAATAAGTTTCCCTAGTATTCCCGAGGGAAGTCACGTCATTTAATTGACAAATACAGTAAAAATGCATTAGGTCGGCAGCAATAAGCTATGGGCTCGAACTCTTTTTTAGCATATTCATAACCCATTACGGCCTTCATGATGCGTATGCTTCAGGCTCAAAAGCGATTAATCAGATGAAAGACTTCCCTTGTTAGCCCAATCATTGCACCTTAATATAATATTGTTTATTCAAAAGAAAGATTTTTATTTATTGAACTATTGATAATTCAACTGTATATTTTGTTCTTTTTTTCAAATAAAATCATTTTTAGTTCGTGACTCTCATTGGCATTGGCTTGATGGGTCTATAGTTGACAGTTCAGTGATTACCTGGTGTCCAAATAGTACATATAAAACAGCAGTTGGCACATATTGCGCAGCTTATGATAGTACTTTACAATGTGTTAACGATTATTTATGTAGTACTCCCTTACCAGCTCCATGTGTATCTGGTAAGCATTAATTAATTTTGTTTTCTGTTTTTTTTTATTTTTATTTATGTTTGAAACTTTCAGCGACAAATGGCATAAATCGAAATGTTAAAATAAGTTTGATATCTCAACCAAGGGCAACTGATTTATGTAGCAGTTCATCTGGTGATGCTTATGCATATTGGTGGACATATTCAATTTTACTTCTTAATTGGTTTATACTTTTCTGTTTTTTTCTTTATTTATCGAATCGTTTTACTATAAATAAAAATACAATGATATTAATATCAATTATTGTTATATTATCATTTGTATTAATAGTTATTTATGCTATTCTATGGAGTGTTCAATGTATGTCAACAACAAAAGAAATAAATTAATTTTTTTATCATTTGTGTTTTTGTTTTCATTTAGATCAAGATATTATTCAAATACCATTAGCTATAGTTATAATTGGTTGTATTGCTAGTACACTGCTTTTTCTTGTTTTATTCATTATATTAAATGATCGTAATCGTGGTGAGTAAAATAAAAAAAAATTTTATACAATAAAATCAATTTTATGTTCAGTACAACGTTTTATGGCATGTATGATTTTAATATTTTCAACAATAATTTTGGAATGCTTTTTAATGCTTGGTTTAATTCTTTGTATTGCATATTGTTCAGCATATATAACACTTTCATGGACAAGCCTTGATAAAGGTTATTAAAATCCATTTTCAATTTTTTTTCATTATTGCGTTTATCACATTATAGATGTTACGGCTTCAGTTTTAGCTTCATTAATTGCTGCTATATCAGTTTTACTTTATACAGGAATTCTGTATCTATTAGGTAAATTATATAAATTCGATGAATTAAAATTTTTTTTTAATTATTTTAGAAAATGATGGTTATGATCGTATACATGCAATAAAGCCAGCTCATACAAATACGATTCCACTTGCACCAGCACAACCAATTGTTCCTCATCCTCAATCACAAAATCATTTTCAAGCGAATAATCATCGACCAACCTCAGTTATACCAATAAAAAAACATGAACAAATTGAACGAGCAACATCACCTGTTGATGAACGTATTCTTCAAGAATTTTATGCAGATCTACCAAAAGATATACATCAGTATAGTTTGGAAGGCAAAAACTATGTTGTTTATGAAGGAACAAACTTGACAGATATTGAATCGTATAGAAAAGGTACATAAAAACAAACGATTTATTTTTTTTCCTCTTGCAAATAAGTGTTTTTTTTTAAATTTCGTTCATAATAATAGATTTAACACAAGCAATGTTATTACAAGAATCACAAGGTCTTCATGATGCAATTGATCGTGCTAAAGGTTCAATTCATGCGTCGAATCTTGCTGATGAAATTCATCAAGCTCAAAATTTAGCGACAAAATTAACATAAGCTTAAAAACATTATATTTATATTTTGAATGTGTGTCTACTAAAGTGAAAACTAAATATTTTTTGGTGTTGTTCTTCTCTTTCTTTTATTTTTCATTGATTTATACCTGCTGAAATCCTTTCTAATTTCTTTGCTGCCATTTTATTTTCACAATGAACACAAAAAGAAAAATAACGACAGAATGTATGAATGTTTTATATTTAAATCTGTGGACGATATACATTTATGTGAAGATGTTGAAATTTTATATATGTACAACACGAAAAAAAGCATACTGATGATGTTTATCTCAGAAACAAAGAAAAACACATACATGGAAACAATGAACAAGAAAAAAAAATAGAAAAAAAACAACAAATCTATTGTACCACGTGTCTCTTTTTTCACAAGGAAAGAAAAATACTTTGGTCAACTAACAGTTGAAATAAACCATCATCAAATATATACATATATTATAATCTTTATCTTTTTTTTTAACATAAAATATGTGTATATTTTTTGTTTAGAAATTCTAACGAATAGAATAAATCTTTTTTGCTTTAATAGAATAAACAAAGCGGCAAATAAAATATTTACAAGAGAACAGAAACATGCGTGTACACAAATGAAATTAATTATGCATCATTTGGTCCTCCTCCAGCTGGTGCTAATCGTTGTTTTTTACTTCCTGCTGAATTTGTATTTGAGGAGGTTCGTTTTAAAGAGTTGTTTGCCGTTGCATTATGATATGGTATTTGTTGATCTTGTAACCATCGTACTTGTGTTGCTGGTCCATATCCACGTTCATTACGTGCTGCTATACGAAATATAATAGCTGGTTTACTACTTGAACTTATGTCAAGATGTGCTTGAAGAAGTTGACCAGCATTTACAGAACATTCAGCTAATGCACCACCATAAACACGAACAAAAGCCATTTGTGATACTTGTTGTTGATGTTGACGTGGCACTGTATTATCTGTTGCTGTATTTTTAACTGCTAAATAAACAGCATAACCAGTTATTAAACATGAAGCATTCGATGGAGCATCCCAAGTTAAATGAGCACCACCATCCAATGTCTAAAAAGAGGAAGATGATTGAATTTTCTTTATTCCATGATTTTGTGAAACACGATCTGAAAGAAGTGTTGAGGGGTAGAAATTTGCACCCACTCCCCCAGCCCCCTTCCATAGACCGTGAAAGAGAATCCTGGGTACCCATCACAGACCGTGACAGAGAATCTCGGGTACCCATCACAGATCGTGACAGAGAAACTGTAGTTGTAAAGCATTAGATAAACGATTAGCTACAAATGTGTCACAAAGAAACGGAACAAAAGGATTTCCATTTAATTAGTAACAATAGATCCATCGTGTTTCACATTTTTAATCCCGCAAGGGATTGCGCTAACAGCTTTTTTATGAATATCAGCAACTCTCCATTAACGAAGTGATCGGAACGTTTTTCGGCAAAATAATTCGTTCATGTTGACCTATTTGAAAGCATTTTAGAGGAGACAACAACTATAGATCGCGAACAGAATTCAAATATCTGCTTAGAAATGTTGTGTCTATTTTTATTTAGAAATAGTGAAGGACTTTTTGAAAGACCTGATCAATTATTGGAGTCTATCGTTATGTACGGAAGACTACTCTTTACAAAATATGATATTGAACTTATTAGGAAATCTCTTTAGATAATTCCTTCGGATTTCAAGTTTTTTTGTCTATAGAGACTACATAGCGCTCTAATGAAAACTCTAAAAGAATTTGACTCCCTATTGAGATTTAATTAAACTACAGAAGTTTTAATATGTCTAGTTTCGAGAGAGCACAGTGTTTCAGGGAACTCCTATTTTCGAATTTTGATTTGAAACTTTGTGTACATAGAGAACTTAACTAGACTAGTTTCCATAAAGAATTCTAAAGTTTAAAATGAATTCTCTTTGAGTTATAATGCTTTCAAAAAATGCATGTTACACTTTTGAAAAAGCAAAAACATCTTGAGAAAACAAAGCTTAGAAAATATCTTAAAAAAAGTAAAAACCTTTCACAATCAATTAATTTTGTTAAGAAGTATGTTCGTGCAAAGTTTTAAGTCAAAACTCAAAAGTCAATTTTTGCACGTGACCGAAGGAGGGCTACAGTGTTTTCTTGACAAGCCCAGTAAAGTTTCCATACTTCGAGAGCAGGAGTGAAGAAAACCAAACCATACTAGGCTTCTCTATTACTCATCAAATGAATGCCGTTTCAATCGAAAATCGGTTTGACACTTAGAGAAGTTCTCTCGTCTGTAATAAAAATATAGCTACTACATTTACGAAAACCTTCATGATTCTAATTCAATTGATTGCTTTTGATTATATTCTTTTTTAAGTTTTTATATCATACTTTAGTTATCTTAATATTTGATGGTGCTGGTGGTGCACCGGGCAAACATGTTTTAAATGCTGCTGCTTCACTCCATGGTCCTCGTCCACATGAATTGACTGCTGCTATTCGTAATTTATAAATAACACCTGGTTCAAGATTAACTTTTTTAACTAAATTTTGAAATTGAAGTGAAGGAAGATCCTTTCAAATAAAAGAAGAGAAATATAAAAATTATTTTCTTTTTTTGAATACAAAAATAAAATCAACAAACATAATTATCAATATTAATTTGTGGAGGAACAACATAATAATGTTTAATATCAACTGTTGTTGTTTTAAATGTTCCAACTAAATGCCAACTATTATCGTCTTCATTTTCTGATGGTTTTACATCATTTGTTGGTTCAGTTTTTGTATTATCATTTGACATTGTTGCCTGAGAAATTTCATGATTATCTATTTAAATAATCAAATTTCATTCGACAAAAAAAAATGAAAAATTTGTAACTTACGTGATGATTGTTGAGAACCTATATTCACTATAGTAGTTTGCTGTGGTGTTGGACTCGAAGAACTTTGTAAAACTGCAATAAAAAGATAATTACTTTTATGTTTTGAACTTTTTCTTTTCTTGAACATACCAGATGAGGTTCCATTTTGTAGAGGCTAAAAAAAGTATTGAGAATATTACTTGAGACATATGAAATAGTAAAAGCGAAGGCACTTCAATACCGCATAGAAAAGCTGAAGACATTTGCTCTCTATATGAGTTGATAGTAAAAATTGTGCTTAGTATCTCATCATTTTTCAACTAGTATCGAAACAATAAAATTATGATAAATACTGTTTTGTTATGATGTGTGACGATAATAATTATTTTAATTGAGTTTGATATAATCGAAATAGAAACTCGCAATTCTTACTATGAGAAAGAGGAGTTGAAGATGTATCGAATTATATCTTATTGGCGTTTCCTATATTTTTTCCAAATGTTCTTTCTAATCAACTTTCTACAACAATGTTGGAAAATAGTTATTTATGGAAGGGAAAAAACGACTTCAAATTTCGAGTAAAACTTCTATATAACTCCTAAATGATGAAATCTAAATATCTGTGTCTTATGCAGTTTTTAGAGCTTTAACTATTACTTCGCACGTACACCTGATAGTTGCAATTTCATTGTAAATACCAGAAGTGGCCTTGTATTTAGAAGAGGTCGTTCGAGAAATTTGGAAAAAAATCTATAATTGACGATTCAATGCATCTTTATCTCTTCTGTCTGAATGGCCAAAGGCTTGACTCTCTATATTAGTTTCATCAAAAATGTTATTCAGAATGTATCAACTGGTCGTTTTTTTATTTATGAGTTTTAGCATTAGCGTTACTTATTACAATAGAACAACTCGTATCTAAATTTTAATATTATGCTATTATAGTTGAAGAATGACAAAGTATACAGCATTACTTTTATTATCAGAGCATATAAAGCGAACGTTTTTTTGACATTGTCTTATAGTATTTAAGTGCTGACGTCACTCATATTGGTATACTGTACAAGGAAAGTTCTTCCATTGATAAATCGCTTTTGAATTGACACTTTATGTATTATGAAGACCCAAATAAGCCTTGAGTACCTGGATACAAAATCGTCTCCCTAGTTTATTGCTGCAGGGATAATGCACTTGTAAGCTATTTTTTTAAAATAAATGTCGTAAACTAGAGCTCTCCTAAAGTTTCCGATTGTTTTTGATGGTGATAGAAGGAGGGAGAAAGGCTGAAACTTCAACAGTGTCTTTTTTCATCTTTCTGGCAGAGACCGAACAAGAAATATCTTCGCGAGAATATTTGTCAGAAGTAGAGCTTAAACTCTGTTTCTATCACGATTCCCTACGAGATAGTACAAAATTTTGCAAAAAGCTTGACATTTTTTTAAAGGATAAAGCTCTAACTATCTCCTATTTAATTAATAACTCTACTGTAGCCCTTCTTCAGGAACATCCGAATAATTGATTTTCGAATTTTGCCTTAAAACTTTGGATAGAGAGATGGCTTGGCGAGAATCTTTTCTTTGTGTGTGTGTTTTAGAATTTGTTGCTATTCGTATCCTAAAATAGACCTATAGTAATAACATATCTTTTACATTGCTCATATGAACTGACAGATTTCTTGCTCATAGTTTAGCATAGCAGCAAATCAAAAGACTTGAAATTTTTACAAATAATTATTTTCGTTAAACTCAGTCCTTATGTAAAAGTTCAAGTTACAATTAATAAATCAGTTCTTATTTTACCATGGCATTCATTTTCATAATGCAGATAATCTCGACTGAAAAGCGATTTATCAATCGAAAGATATTCACTCATAAGCGTACGGTCCATTACAAAAAAAGCCTTACTTGATCATCAATAATACCATCAATTTGTGGAATAAATTCACAATGATTCTTTAGAGAAATTTGTTTTTGTAATATCTCTAATATATTGTCAACAGTTGTTATAGTATTTATATGTTGAGAAGAAGTTTCTACTGAATTACATCCATCAAGTTGTGGCATTGTATTATCGATTGTTGGTGTTTGTTGAGAATGATTAATATTAGTAGAATTAGATTGATCAATATTTGCCATTGATAATGTAAGTTTTGATGTTTGTTCTTGATTATTATTTAATGTATTTTGATTAAGAACTAAAACTTGTTGTTGTGTTTGAGGTAAAATTGTTTTTTGTTGTGTATTAGTTGTTAATAAAATAGGTTGTTGTTGTCGATTTGATGTCGTAATAGCTTTAATAACTAATGGTTGTTGTTGTTTATTTGTATTTAATTGTATAAATTGTTGTTGTCCTGTCGTTGATCGAACCGTTGATGTTGTTGGTGACATTAATCGAACAATTGTTGTTGGTTGTGTTGATGAAGCACGTACAACAGGTGTTAGTTGCTGAACGCGAACACCAGCTGGCATAACAGTAAGAAGTTGTGGTTGTGTTGATGTTGTTGCCGTTTTTTGATGAAAAATTATTGGACGAACAGTTGAATTTGAACATGCATTAACAAATTGAATATTCGATGGTGTTGTTGAACGAATATCTGACAACAGAAAAAAAAAAAGAAAATGAAATTTTATAATTTTGTTTTTTGAATATTTACTTTGTGTAGAATGAGAAGAAATATTAGTTGATGTTGGTTTTTGAAAGAGTAATGTGGTATTTATAGTACTGTTCGAAGACTAAAATAAAGAAATAATGTTGAAAAAAACAATCACGATATTTTTTAATTTACTTGTGATACAGTTGGTAATGTTTGTGAATTAACGGTATTCATAGGGGACGAAAGTGATGTTTGTGATGATGATAAATGAGCTAATGAAAGTAAATCTGATGTAGACTTGTTTAATAGTGTCGACGATGAAAGACATTGATCAACATTTGTATCTGTATTCGATTCAAATTTTAAACAAAAATCAAATTTTTGCATAGAAACTTTAGTTACCGCCATCATTTATTGCAGAAACAGATGCACTTAGTGGTTGTTGTTCTAGATAAAAAGAAATCATTAAGAAAAATTTATTTATTTCATTTAATTAAATTTACCATTTGAAAACGTTGGAATCAATGACGCTAAAACTAATTATAACATAAAATTGAATATATTTTTACACTCATAAGTAAAAGATTGATTTCACCTGATTGAGGACTTTTAGAAGCAAATAATGAAGCAGATATAGATTGTAATGGTATAGAGGGTGGGTTTATAGATGTTTGAGATGTAATCGAAGGAGCTGGAGGTGGTTGCTCAATTGGAGCTTCGAAACGTTGAATTTGTAAAATGTAAGAATCCGCTATTTAATAAAAAAAAAGAAATTTAAATGACAAAAAAACCAATCCTTGAATAGATTTACCTGTTGGAAGTGGATTCCATGACACTTCTAAATTACCAATGCCTGCTTTTAGTAATTGTACTTTTTCTGGTTCACCTGGACATGATGTTTCCAAACACCATAAATCTTTACAACAAACCTATTCAAATAAAATATTCTTCTATTAAACAATAGAAAAGATTGATTTTATTTTTATGTACTTGATTATTCCAAGCTTTTCGATAACCATCTCTTCCACTCCATATATACATTCTTGCATTAACAGCAACAGCACAATGACCAGCACGTGCTCGTGGAATATTATCATCAACACATTCTTGTCCAAGAAGTTCCCATGTATTTGTTTCTAGAAGCAAGAATTTATACTTATGAGAGAAGTCCTTCAACTAATCATTCACTTTTGAGTCGAGCATAGGTGCATTATACAGGCCTTGCGTGAACGGGGGTGTAGGGGAGTGTACACCCCCCCCCCCCCCCCCCCAATAATCAAAAATTCTCAGTTTTCTTCAGCCACAAGAGTCGAGTTCAACCTAAATTTTACGATTTTTTTCAAAGTTTTTCCTGAAAACACTCCTTTACACTCCCGTAATATTAGATCCTTAGCATGGACACTGGCATTATATAGACTCAAATTAATTATGAGCAGCTTTAAAAGGGTTCGTGTCCTTAGCTTATTATTGCGGAAACACTACACTTTTGAGATTAATACTATGATAACAGAGAAAAATGATTGTCGAATTTCAACTTGAAACTTTCGACAAAGATAGGCCTTGACAAAAACAGTTTATTTTGAAACTTTCAAGTTATTTGATTTGCTTTTATTCTGAAATAAGAACGAGTCTAGCGGTATATATAAGTGATAGAAAATGCACACTCTTACTACAGCTGTACCTCTTAAGATACGAATAATGAACAGATCTGAAAACTAGTCTTTGTGCAAAGTTTCAAGTCGAAAATTAGTTTTCTTGATCTTTCTAAGGAGATCACTGCATTCATTTAAAAGTGTAGTACTAACGAAGTAATAAGCTAAGGGTACGAACTCTTTTGATAATATTCATAACTCATTTAGATCTTGATAATAAATTTAGTTTCGAATCAAAACCGATTGATTTTGTTAAGAAACTTCTCATACGAGGACATACAAAACATAGTAGTTTTGGCGCATACAAACTACACAAGAAAGAGGGAATCATCTTTTTTTCCAAGAATTATTTGAGCTAGTAGCCACGTTTAATTATGCATAATCGATTTGTTGAAAGTATTTTTCAAATAATCTTTGATTAAAAAATTCATCATTTTGATTCTAGTACTCAATACAGCGAATACATGAAGTCATAGTGGGTAATAAACTCTGAATATACCGCATAGAAATCGACTCAGATTCTTCGAAATACAATCCGAATATCTCTATTATCTACAGTTTAGCGAAATAATTTAGTCTCAACACAATTATTTGTATCTTTTCTAAAAACAACTAGTGAAATACTAAATTCCCAAACATGACCTATTAATGGGATGAGAAGACAAAGATTATCATTTGCCGTTCAAAATATCGAAAGTCATTATGATAGTGTGCAACAATATATTCATAAAGATATTTTTAATATCCTGAATTATAATGTATCATAATTCTTTTATATCCATCGTACTCTATGAAACAAATGTACCACGCTTTTTTTCAGGTGCTTTATGTAATTGATAAACTTTATCTATCAAATGATTGTTTATCAGTACACATAATGTAGTACTCAAGATAATGAATTTTTTAATCAAAAATACTTTCAAAAAATCGATTATGTAAAATTCAGCATGGCTGCTAGTTTGAATACATGATTAACTCTTCCCTATAGTACTTTATATGTCAAACTCCCTACTTTTTCTTTATCTTAAACAAATGCCTTCAACAATTTTTTTTTTCATTACCTAAATTAAATGACGCTAATGTATTTGTACATTTCCATTCTTTTTCATTAACATTTTGTTCATTTTTATCTGAAGAAACTAACGGTATCCAACCACCAAATACAAACATACTAAAAAGCTCTGATACAAAGAAGAAACACAAAATAAAAGTAAAAGACTAACCGATGACCAATAACAACAGATGAATGAAGACTACGTGGTTGTGGTGCTAGACCAGAAGCAGTGATCTGTGTCCATTGTGATAGATCTTTTTACAAAAATTTATATTCTTTTTCTAAATTCCAATTATAGACAAAAAAACCTTCTACCTAGATAATAACTCCAAATATCTCCTAATCTATGGCCATTCATTCCGCCATAAATAATTAATTTTGTTCGATTTTCAATTTGTCCACGATATGAAACACACGAATGAGATTCACGTTCAATGGGTTGCATACCACGAATAATTGGTTGTTCCCATGAATAATTATTACTTTTATATTCAAGTGTATACAGATCATTTAAATATCTAAAAAGTTATATTGTTATGAATATTTGCTTTTTATTATTTCATTTTTATTTCTTACCTGGGTACATTCTGTTTAGGATCTTTACTATCATTAGCTAAACCACCAAAAAGATAATATTTTCCGTCAACATATGTCAGTGTATGTCCTAAGAACAATATGAATGATAAATACAAGATGTTTCAGAAGACAGGACGAAAAAAAAAGGTGAACAACTCCGCAACAATTCAAGGGATTTAAATGTTGTTTTTTACTCGAATCCTCCTTTGAAGAGAAACGATAGACTTATATGAAAAGAAAATACAAGATTTCAAATTTACCGATCAGCTGATAGGTAATGTTTGGTTTTCTTCACGCTATAGAAAGGAATAACACATATTCAATAGCACATGCTTAACTTTTATTAACATTAGTTACTTGACTGATAATTGATGTTTTGAGATGCAGTGTCACATACTGAAGCTGAAAATAAACTTTCCGAAGTACATGAAACTTTTATGAATCTTTCCGGTATCCTTCAAGTTTTCTGTTGGAAACATGATAAGAGTTTTTTTTTTTAAGATTCATATTCCCGTGAAGTTTGTCAAAAATTAATCCACTATATAAAATTCGCTAGAAAATAACATTTAGCTTCAGACATTTCAAATATATTTTGCGAAAAATGTTAGATGAAAAATCTTTAGTCATGACTAATGAAGTAGCCGTAGTTTTTCATGGTATCGATGCGATTCGAACTATTTTATTTTCAGATGATTAACTTTAATTTTTTCTATAAAATTGTAGTTCAAGTAACTATCTCTATACGTATTCATATAAGTAACAATTTTGTGGAACTAATACTATAAAAGTCAATGACAGTCTGGAAAAATGTAGCGTAATTACGGAAGAAATAATGACGCTTGTAAAAATGAGCTAGGACTGTGTGTTAGGTCTATATAACTCTTCTTCGTAGGGAAAAAATTATATTTTGTTTGGCTTTAATAAAAGATGTTTCCTCATAATTCGATATGTTATTGTTGTTTGTAGCAACGAGCAAGTTTGTGCAGTACATCGAATACTTGATCCTAACCCATTTTCACCAGCATTGACTTTTCCTCAGTAACTACTGTACGCCTTCAAGAAAGTGATCGTACTAGTTTCATAAAATCGCTACAATGTGGTTCCAATACAAAACTCAGTTGATGTCTTTTTATCAAATTCGTTTTGTAGCTTTAATTTTACAATGGTAGTTGACTCGAATTGGTCTATCAGTAAAAAGATTCACAGTTCTTCAGAATTGTTAAGTATCTTATTTCCGTTTTGTTTAGTCTTTTGTAAAACTCTGTAAATAGAAGAAGTTTACCAAGTCGTGCACATGGTAATGAAGATGTTCTTGGTGGTCGTGCTTTTATTTTTTTCCATTGCCATGTTATTGGATTAAGTTCCCAAAGATCTGCTGAATATTTTCCATATTCAATCATACCACCAAAAACAATAATTCTTGAACCATCTGTAGCAAAACCAAATGCAGCACAACCTGTTGGTATATCACCTTTGGTTAACGGTTGAAACCATTGATTTGTAGCTTAAGCGAAAAAAATAATAATCCAATATTCTTTTTATTTTTAATTTTTTTATCTACCACAATTGAAAACATTGAGATCTTCAACAATACCATCGTTACCTCCACCAAATATAATAATTAAATCTTTGACAGCTACTGCTCGATGTCCATGACGTGGTTTTGGATTTGAACCGATTGCTGCATCAAGACGTTTCCATTGAATTTTTGTTGTCATCACATCGGTATTAATTTAATTAAATTGATTCACTGAAAAAAAATAAACATACTAATAAATGAATACTGAATAGAGAAGATCGATATACAAAAAGATAGCCACTAAGTAGTAGCCATTATTATAATCATAATTAAATCGATGCCTTTATCAATTAATAATTTTTGACACTTGAAAAATATTTAATAGGTAAAATACGATTTTTCTATTTGAATTTTGACAAGAAAGTAATTTTAAATATAATAAAAACAAGATACAATTTCCTTGTTCAAATTCAGTTATGCATTTTAATGAACCAATCAGATGTTTCTTTTATCCTTATTGAGGAATATCTATAGTAACACTAAATGAAAATGGATGCTTTGTCAAGAAAGAACATATTGAAAATATACGTACAGATGAAGTTTTCTTTTTCGTTTTCGCTGTTGTATTCGAAAATATCGTCCTATAGTTGTATGTTGTTTTAATTTCAAAGTCGAATTTGAATGTAAATTAAAACAAATAAATGTATATTTAATTCTAAATTTAGGTTAAAATATTGTTCTAACAAAAAATATCTGTAAATATGATTGACTAAGGCATTTAAGTTATTTAAAAATGGATAAAATTAAAGCAATAATAAACAAATTCGAGAGTATTTATATCGACGTGAAATTAATTTCAATAGATTTTATAAATTCAGTATTTTTTAATGACGATGACAAACCTTTCGAATTCAGAGAAGATTTAATGCTAACAAATTTCTAAGTGTACTAGTTCATTAATTAAGATTAGTTTTGAATTATGCCCATGTTATTAACCACATCTTATGTTTCGAAATCATTTATTTGTAACAGTTATATTTGCTTGAATACAGCTATGTCTCGAGGTTACTAGGACTGACCGGTGCTAGATTCTTGTTACGAGAATCATTAAGCAAAAAAAAAGAAGAAAATCGTTCAGCTTCGCGAGAACAAAATGAAAATTTTCTAAGAAATTATTTGTCAAGGTTTAATTTCAGTTTTTTTCTGCTGCTGTAAACATTAAGAAGAATCCTAATAATGATTTGATTAGAGAACCTTATTTTCAACAAGAACTTATAATGATAAAAATGATTGCTAGCTTCCCGAGAATAAGGGTTTTGAAAAACCAAAACCTGAGGTTTTCAGCTCCTAGAATTTATCATCATAATTGCGTTTAAATTACCAGAAATAATAAAGAAAACCATTCTTTTCAAAACTGATATGTCTTTCAACTCTCTACGATGTGCTTTGACCAAGATGTATCAGTTTTACGGAAGGCACAAAAATGGTTTGTCCGTACGAAATAACAGACAAAAAAGGCATTTGTGCATTCCATAACGTTGATCTTTCTTAGTCAAAAATGCTGTAAAGAACTGGAAGACATGTCATTCTCTATATAGAGCGGTTCCAAGGTAAAGGGATATAGAATTTTTTAGATCTCGTCGTTGCACATATTCAGTTAGACCTCATATTTACACCTTACATACAAAGTGATACTAGTAAAAGATGTAGCATATACTCTGTTTTTAGGTGCAATAATTTGTTTAACAGCGTACAAAATAAATCTTACTACTTATCTCAATCTCTGCACTGAATCTAATTTAGGTACATTTTGTACTGACCTAGCTTAAAAGAAGTCAAAATTAACGAAATGGGATTCATTTCATAGATCAAGATAAGCAGACACAACTATGGAAACGAATTTCTCATACAGATACAGACGAGCAATAATATATACTTGCGTGCTTTAAATAAATGATTACATCCAAAGACTGATCATAGGCTATATTTGTGATTAATATCACCTAGTACACGTGGTATAAATATGAAACCTAACTGATCACGTACAAATAAGAAATCAAAAAAATGTTGTGTTTCTTTACTTTTGGATCATTGTGTATAGTGAATTCAAATGATCGACAATAGGCTTCTCATACAAATAAAATATAGAAGTAGAAAATCGTCATTGAAAAAAAAATGCAAAATAAAATCACTTCTCTTAGAACGTTTTATAGCATCTGCTATCAAAACATTGCATAGAGTTAAAACTGCATAGTACAAGTTAATGAATGTAGGTACGATTATTAACTTTAATGATAAATATTTTATTGTAAACTCTTACTTTGTTTTTTAGATAATAGTTGAACTTTCACTTTCGATTGTTAAGTTCAATTAAATGGATACATCCGAACTTGAATTGAGCCGTGTTCATGGATTTACATCATGGATAAATATGCGATTAATGCCATTTGAACAAGGTCTTAATAACATTTTAACAGATTTAATGAAAGGTACTAATATGAAAATGTTGTTACAAAGTGTTACTGGAACAACGACAGAAAAAATTCAATCATTTGAAAAATTAAGTCCTGAACAAATAAGAACTCGATGTGAATGGGCTGTTAAACATTTAAAAGAGCAGTAGGATATTGGTGTTTTTTTTCTTCTTCATATTCCAAAAAATAAAAAAGAAATTTATTTATTTTAGTCAAGTTATACCAGAAGATGTTCACATAGATGCTCGTTTATTTGCTGTTCGAAGTGCGAAACATGTTTGTGTTGAAATCTTTTGTTTTTTATGATAAAAAAAAATATTTTTTTTTCTGTTCTTTTTAATGTTAGGTATTTGATCTTCTTTGGCGATTAGTCGAGCATGATATTTGGTTTTTATGGGAACGTATTGATTTTCTTCTTCAAGATGATGCTAATGCATTATTACATGTACCACTTAAGGTAAGATGATGAAAATTTGAACAATTTTTTTCTAAATGATTTATATAAAGTTCGATAGAGCTCTATAAATAAATCCATTTTTAAAAATGTTTCGCTCTTTCTATGTACACAAAAGCAATTTTAAATATTGAGATCATTCTATTGTATAGAAAAAATCGCTTGGTTTTGAGAATCAAGGACTCACTTTCTTTTTTATTCGGTTGTAACAATCATAAAGGTGTTTTTTTTTTATAATCGCTACGAAAAGCTGATTATATAAAGATAATATTTGTCTTTTTGTAATAAAACTTGATTGATTTTTTCTCTTCCTCAAGTTGCTACTATGGTTTGTAAATCGATCTAGTTAATTTTTGACAAGATATAATATCAAAAAAACAATAGGTCATTCGAACCAGCAACAAAGGAGTCACAAATATTTGCATATATTTTTTCATAAGATTTTGTTATGTTGGAAAAAAGTAACGATTCTTATGTCGAAATCATAAGATGACATTTTAGTTGCCCAAAATGCATTGTTTAGTAGCAGAAAACTTTCGTTTGGACAAAAATAAACATGGTATTCATAGTTAGCGGATTTTTATTAAAATTTTCCTGTAGGAAATGACAGAGAAGTTTTTCACGAAAGTTAATTTTACTCTAAAACATTTCATCTGACCCAGGTTTTTGTGCTGATTATGGATATGATTTTCATTTTTGTTCAAATAAAAGACTATTAACATTAAATAACGTATTTCAGAGGTCAAAAATGTCATCTTACGATTTCCTAATGTAAATCTCTAGTTTTCTTCAACTAAATAAAATCTTATGAAAAAATAGATGCGTATGTTTGTAACTCATTTAATGCTGGTTTGAGTTGTACTCTTTCGTTATATTACATATCTTGCCAATGGAAAACTTACATAGATTTACAAGGTACAGCAGCAACGTGACTGAGAAAGAAATCAGTGAAGTTTTATTCCGGTAAGGTAAAGATTACGTTTTTATGGTTGATTTTTCGTAACAGTTAAAAAAATAGTTTTACAATAGTTAAAACTGAATAAAAGAGAATGAGTCCTAGTTTTTTTTAAAATAAAGCGATATTCCTGTACAATAGGATAATCTTCATATATTGAGCTTGTTTTGTTTAGATTAATGAGCAAGAAATTATTTACAGTAAAGTGAAGGTAAAACAGTTTAGAAACGTACTTTTGACTCTTTTCGTTAACCGAAACAGCCACAACAAACGGACAAAAATATTTGCTTAACTGAAATGATTTCCTGTTAGGAGGGATACTTGTTAAATTTCCATAGACAGGCTTTAGTGAAAATGCCTCTGAAAAACAGGATCTTCAAACTTAGTTTTCTAGCTTCTATCGAAAAAGTCTTGCAAACAAGTTCATCGAAATAGAGAAAACATTTCTGAACAAAATAAGATGTCTCCGAACTCATTGTAAGCTATATTCAGCGAGCTGCGCTCATTCTATACGTGGCTTCAAAGTGTACAATAGAGTAAGTTCATAAAAATTCTCATAAGAATAACAAAAACAGCATTTTAGATCTATTGCACAATGTTTCTTTATCAGATGAACTTGTTTGCAAAGCTTTTTTGATAGAATCCAGAAAATCGATTTTGGAGATCCTGGTTTTCAAAAGGTATTTCACCTAAATATTTGATTTAAAAAACTTCATTTCTAAAGTTTCTGCCTTCATTTTATATTTTCTGATTAAATTTTCGTTCCTTTGTATATAGAAAAAATTTACGATTAATATGCTATCTATTTCAAAATATAAAGTGTTTCACTTTTTTTTTTGAAAAAATTTTGAGAATAGCATCGCAGAGAACTACGGTTCTCATCGTTCAAGAGAAAACACTCGGGTCCATCGAGGTATATCGACATTTGATTGATGCGATCTAGACTTTTAATGTGATTAAATGGTAGAAAACGTTCTTCTCTATCGATCTAAACAAGATCGACATTTCTAGCTAGTTTCTTTTGAGAGTTATAATACATTTCCTGAGATTCCCTCTTTCAGGAAAAATATTATAATTGTCGAATGAAACTAGCTAGAAACGTTAGCTTTGTGTAAATCGAAAAGCAAGTAGCTTCAAAATAACCTTTTCGAAAATCCTCATTGAGACCTCATCTGGTTAATCGATTTCTGACTAATAAAATTTCAATATACTTTGATGACTCCAAGTCTCTGCTCTTGAATAATGAAAACTGCAGGTTTTTATGATGTTCTTTGCAAAAGTTATTCAAAAAAAACAATAGACTACATTGTGTTTTT